TATTTCGTCACATTCATCGATGATCATTCAAGAAAATTGTGGGCGTATATGATGAGGACTAAGGATCAAGTTCTGGGCATTTTCAAGCAGTTTCAGGTCTTGGTGGAAAGACAGACTGGAAAGAAGTTGAAGTGTATCCGAAACGATAATGGAGGTGAATACTCCGGACCATTTGATGCCTATTGTCGTGAACAAGGCATCAGACATGAGAAGACGCCGCCGAAGACACCACAGTTGAATGGGTTGGCAGAGAGGATGAACAGGACGATCATGGAGAGAGTTCGTTGTCTGATTTCTCAATCAGGCTTGCCGAATTCCTTTTGGGGAGAAGCTTTGAACACCGTGGTTCATGTATTGAACCTGTCACCTAGTGCTCCGTTACATGGTGATGTTCCAGAGAAGGTTTGGACTGGTAAGGATGTTTCTTACCGTCATTTGAAGGTTTTTGGGTGTAAAGCGTTTGTTCATATTCCTAAGGATGAGAGGTCGAAGCTGGATGCGAAATCAAGACAGTGCGTGTTCATAGGATACGGTCTGGATGAAATGGGATACAGATTCTATGATCCAGTTGAGAAGAAGCTCGTCAGAAGCAGAGACGCTGTGTTCATGGAGGATCAAACTATTCGGGATATTCAGAAGTGCAAAAATCCAACTCAGAATAGCAGTGGTTTGATCGACTCTGAGATGATTCCTCGGACGGCAGTTGAGGATTCTACTGAAGGTGAGGTTCAAGATGATACACATGGTACAGATGCTCCCGTACAAATTGATGATGGTATTGGTGAAGACCATCGGGTTGAGTCGTCAACTACCGAAGACTCACCGATGCTGAGAAGGTCTGAGAGAGCTCGGAGACCATCAACGAAGTATAGCTCCGGTGAGTATGTATTACTTACTGAAGGGGGAGAACCAGAGAGTTTTGATGAGGCTCTCGGAGATGAACACAAGGACGAATGGATGAAGGCCATGAATGACGAGATGGATTCTTTGTACAAGAATCAGACGTTTGAGTTGGTAAAATTACCTAAGGGTAAACGAGCATTGCTTAACAAATGGGTGTTCAGGGTTAAGCATGAAGAGCACAGTCTGCATCCGCGATACAAGGCTAGACTGGTGGTAAAAGGTTTCAGTCAGAAGAAAGGAGTTGATTTTGATGAGATTTTTTCGCCGGTTGTAAAGATGTCATCCATACGGGTTGTTCTGGGATTGGCATCTAGTCTTGACTTGGAGGTTGAGCAAATGGATGTGAAGACGGCTTTCCTTCATGGTGATTTGAAGGAAGAGATTTACATGGTACAACCTGAAGGCTTTGTTGAGAAGGGCAAAGAAGATTATGTTTGTCGGTTGAAGAAAAGTCTTTACGGGTTGAAGCAAGCACCGAGACAATGGTATAAGAAGTTTGAGTCAGTTATGGGGGATCATGGCTACAAGAAGACGACTTCCGATCATTGCGTGTTTGTACAGAAGTTTTCCGATGATGATTTTATCATCTTGCTGCTCTACGTGGACGATATGTTGATTGTGGGAAAGAACATGGAGAGGATAACAGAGTTGAAGAAGCAACTTGGTCGGTTCTTTGCTATGAAGGATTTGGGACAAGCGAAGCAGATTCTTGGGATAAGAATTGTTCGGGACAGAAGTAACAAGCAGTTATATCTGTCACAGGAGAAGTACATTGAGAAAGTACTTCAACGGTTTCATATGGAGAAATCTAAAGTTGTGAGCTCACCTCTTGCATCACACTTTAGATTAAGCAGTCAGCAGAGTCCGAGTACAGATTCAGAGACGGAGGACATGAGACGAGTTCCATACGCCTCTGCAGTGGGGAGTTTGATGTATGCTATGGTTTGTACAAGACCAGATATTGCTCACGCCGTTGGAATTGTCAGTCGGTTTCTTTCTAATCCAGGAAGAGAACATTGGAATGCAGTGAAGTGGATTCTGAGATATCTTCGAGGTACTTCCGGTTTCAGACTTATGTTTGGAGGTGACAAACCTTTGTTGGTTGGTTACACAGATTCAGATATGGCGGGAGATACAGATTCTAGGAAATCTACTTCGGGTTACTTGGTAACTTTTGCGGGTGGAGCAGTGTCATGGCAATCGAAGTTACAGAAATGCGTTGCACTTTCTACCACTGAAGCTGAGTTCATTGCCGCAACTGAAGCTTGTAAGGAGTTGTTGTGGATGAAGAGATTTCTTGAGCAGCTCGGTTTCAAACAAGATAGGTATATCCTGTTTTGCGACAGTCAGAGCGCTATTCATCTTGGAAAGAATCAGACGTTTCATTCAAGATCGAAGCACATTGATGTTAGATATCATTGGATACGAGATGTCGTGGATTCAAAGGAGGTTGAACTTGAGAAAGTTCACACAGATGATAATGGTGCAGACATGATGACAAAGGCATTACAGAGAGGGAAGCTGGACGTCTGTTGCAGGATTGCCGGGATGGCAATCTCCTCCACATAGTCGGAAGAGGGGGAGAATTGTGGGGTCTTCCTCCCATGTGCATGAGGCGTTTTACACCTTGTGTGAAACATGGGTAAAGTGTTTTACGTGAAACACCATGATGATGTTTTCTTTCATCATTGCTTTGGACCCTTTTCTTTTCTATAATTAAAGAGTTCAAACGTCAGGGAAGATCAACACATACAGAGCGTAATCCAAGCAAGAGAGCAGAAAGAAGAAAAGAGAGAGTGAGAGAAAAGAGGGAGAGAAAACAGTTTGGTGCAGCTGTGATCAAAGCCTCGATCGGATGGTCATTCCTTATCCGATCGAACTGGAATTTGGAGGAGAGCTTCTACACTCATTGTTCTAGGTTTTGTCCGGTGGAATTTTGATTCCAACGGTCAGAATTGGAGAAACGGAGTTTCTACCGAAGCTGTTCGTCATTGGAGCTTCAGCAGCACATGTCCGAGTAAGTTGAAGATTCGGATGCTCATCTCTTCTCCGTTTGAGCTGAAATTTGGTATGCTTATTCTACACCCTCTGAGCTTTTGATTTCTACGGAGAAGTTGGTATTTGGTTGCCGGAATCAGAAGTTACGGGGTTAGCTTGCTGCCTAAGTTACAGCTGGTTCTTTCGGGTTTATTGAGATTGAATATTGGTTAATATTCGGAAGTCTCGGGTGTATCTCTTGTTTATTGGAGACTGAAGTGTGGACGTTGTAACCCGGAAATTTGAGATTATAGTGGATTTTTGGGTGGACTACGGTCCCGTGGTTTTTACTCCTCACACCGAGGAGGTTTTCCACGTTAAAACGATTGTCTCATTTAAATTTCTGTTCTAACTAGATATTGTCATCCTAACGTACTCACACAAGTAAGAGGTTCTTATTTACCGAATTGTGATTCACGGTAAAAACCCTAACACTAACTGAGCCGGAAGTGCAGTGCAAAGCAGCAGAGCTCTTCTTCTCATCGTTCTGTTACTGAAAACATCTCATCTCACGGCCACTGGAGTCTGAATCCGACCCCCACTCCTACCATCATCCCCTGCCCGCCGACATCTCCATCACCGCTGAACCTACTCTCATTGTCCTGTGATGGACTAATATGTGATATTTTCAAGCCACCTGGGTTTTAGGGTTGTAAGTGCTCACTCTCAGTCGACGATATGCAAATGCAAGGTTGCAACGGTGATGGGAACGCGAGTCACGAGAAGGGAGAAAGTGAGACCTCGAGGCCGGATTTCAAGAAAGGAAAAGAAAGTCAAAAGCATACACAGAGGAGAGATTGGCAGCGTCGGACTACGGTCATGAGGTAGAGGACAAAATCGCCCTCAGACCCCTCGAAGCTCGCAATCGCAAGGAGAACGAAACGGTAATCTGGCTCGTGATCTAACCCGTTTTAAAGAAAATAGAAACAAAACCATCACTGCCAAGCCATCTCTCTCGACCTCAACATCGCCTTGCGACCTTTCACCCTAACAAGTCCCCCTCAGCCTCGTCTCGGGTACCCGCTAGTTACTCGTACCCCGACTCATAGAACTCACACCTAAGGTTTGGGTTTCCAGCACTATTCCACTAGAGTTCATGCCGGACATTTCAAATTTCGGGTAAAAACCTCCTCCCTTTCCCTGCCAGATGACTCGGCCATTGCTCACGGCGACTCAAATTTCGGATAGATAGATGCATGCACGCAGGAATCAAATGTGACTGAATTGACCCGATGGCCAAATCCAACACTGTTGCTGCTGGATTTCGAGCTCAACTAAATTATTCATTAAACACTGTCACAAGGCAAATGAATCTCACACACAAGGATGAAAAGAATAAGAGCAATCCCTCAAAACTAAGCCAAGAGAAAAACAATGAAACAAACAAATCGGAAACAGGGATCGATTCTGAGTTCCACTGCCAAAATATATGAATGAAACAACACCACCCTGTGAAGAAAAAGGGAACCCGAAAACCGAAATCTCCTCAACATTTCCAACGCTCGACTACTTGATTTAGAAAGCTGGTTCAAGTGTGTTACCTATTTAGAGTTTTTTATTTTACCTCAGGGGGAGAGGATGGATGGGGGCATCTTTTACCTTTTATGTGCAGTTGGGAGACGCCTGCCTCTTCACCGTCCACTTCCGTTTTGCATTCTCTATAGCTTCTTCCCTCAGCCTCAGCAGCTCTTGCAACGACTGCTGAAACTGCGACTCTATCGTTTTCAGCTCTGCCTTCAGGTCTTCCATCTGCTCATTCTCCGAGATTGACAGCGAGCAAATGCTCGCCATGTCAGAACGCATATCCACAGAATCTCCCACTGCTTTAGCCTCGGCCTCAGCCTCCCTCGTCTTGTCCTTCCCCTCGTATGAATCACGGGCATGAGACCCGTTATCCAATTCCCTGCCATAGCTGCCATTTGAGGCGACAGCAAAGTAGTACTCTGCAGATATGTCCGAATTCACTGATCCTCCAGCCTCTCGATTCTTTGAGTGAGCCGACTGTAGGTTCATGTGATCCCCAGCAGACAGATACGGAGAATTTTGAACCGACGCGTACAGACTGTTCAGATGAGTTGAGGTGGTACATGATAGAGACGGGTTCCGGTTAGAGATCAGCTTCATTATCAAGTCATCGATCATCTCAGCTATGACTATAACCTCTTGGCCTGATAGATCAAGCTGTTCAACCATTTCCTCGGCAATTGCGGTAGCTGTGTCTGAATTCAGATAGAACGCAAAGTGCACGATTCTAGCTTGACCTGTTAGGAAAACCAAGATCATGTTTTTCATACAGCAAACAAGAGAAGAGAAAACTGTAAAAAAACACAAAAACAAAATCAGTCGCCAGAATATCTTAACAACAAACCCGATAAGTCAGCGATACGCAGAGTCATTGAGGCCGTGACATCATCGGTCCTCTCCCCTCTCAACCTGAACTCTTTGTTCTCTGCAACCCTCTGAAGTTCAAGAGTCTGAAGCCATGGGTATTCATGGTTGCTTATCAGAGAGGAGCAAACAGAAGCACTTTTATTATCGTTATGGTCCACGTCCATGGGGAGATGGTCGGGCTGGGGCGGTTTGACTGGCTTAGACATTCCGTTGGATGATGCGGTATATGCAGAGTCCTTAGCGCCATCTGTTGCCAGGAACGGGTCTTTCAAGAGCTCAAGAGCAGTTGGCCTCAACGGAGCAGGAAGAAGACACTTTTCTATCAATTGCTTAACTTGACAATCATCGAGTTTGCTGAGAGATTGAGGCTTTATACCCTGCAAATTACCGTGTTTCAAAGAGGAGACCGACTTCAAAGAGAAAGATGAAAGATTCTCAAGACAGTTGCGGACTTACAGAGGTAACCTTCTTGTATATTTGAGCCTGGTTTCTGCACTCACTGTATGGATATTCACACGTAACCATCTCCAACATGCACATGCCAAAAGAATAGATGTCTACGAGCTCATTGTATTCCTCTTCGTAAAGCTCAGGTGCCATGAATTCGGGAGTACCTGAAATTTTCAAAGTTATCAGTTATAATTGAAACGCTGTAGATAAAGGGTCAAAGAAATTTAAAAATTTTATTACCAATAACACTCCGAGCAGTGGGTTGCTGCATAACAGCTGCAAGCCCAAGATCTCCAATTTTGACTCCTCCAGTATTTCCGTTGATAAATATATTGTCACACTTAAGATCCCGGTGAATTACCGGAGGGCTCTGAGTGTGCAAATAGTGCAAGCCTCGAAGAATCTGTCTTGCCCAGTTCTTGATGGCCTTGGGATCGACCTTCCGGTGTTTCTTACGATATCTTCGCACCGAAAAAAATAAAAAAAACAGGACAATAGTGTCAACCCATGTGATATAGTAAGAGAAAAAGGAGACAGGAAGCAGATGGTGATGGTCTCGTTCTCATCATCGACCCAAGAGTTAAAGAGACTTACGCCCTCAGACTGCCGGAGGTGAAGAGCTCGGTAATCATATTGATGGTCTTGTTCTTATCGTCGACCCAAGAGTTAAAGAGTTTGATGATGTTCTCATGCTTCAACGCCTTGAGCAGATGGACCTCAGAATACAGTCTTTCCAGTTGGCCAGGCATCTGCATTACATCTTCTATGCTCACTAGGTTCCAAGCAACCTCAATCCCATCAACTTCATCAAATGCCTTGTATCTGTTTCAAAATCGAAACCGGAAAACCCTCAACTCCTCAAGACAAATTCCACTTGAAAACATAATAAAAGCGCAGGACTTAGAGAACCATACACAGTTTTGAAGGCTCCTTTCCCCAAGATGTCATCATACTGAAGGATAAGAAAACAAAGAAATCGATCACTACCCTCTATATTAGTAAATGAAAATAACAGTGCTGAAGATGAGAAGACACAGAGAAACAGAATCTAAAACCACATATTTCAGCATCACGAAAGCCGTCATAATCTCTGGACACAGATGACTAAATCTGTCGCTTCCCAGGAAAAAAAAAAACCAGACTTGCGAATGTCTTTAGTTTTCAAAGAACACAAACGGCGAAAGGAACAAATACTGAACGTCGTTCAGACGAGTTTCAATGATCAGAATTATAACCGAGCTCGAAATCTCTTTGTTCCTTTTGCATCCAATTTAAAACGAGACAAGACTGATATCCGGACAAAGCGAACGCTTAAATCTACGGAAAATCCACAAGAAATTTCCTGCAGAGAACTTGCAATCGAATCAAGAGGATCAGAAAGGATAAAAAGCAGCGTACCCTAATGTACCGACCAGTTGGATCTTTCTCGGCGAACTCAACCTCCTTCGTCGCAGATTTGCCACCTAAAATTCCAGAACCAGACGCCATATACACGAAACAAGAGAACAGAATAAAGATCGAGAAACGGGAAAGAGAAGAAGACGATGCGAAGGAGAGATGAGATTGTGGCCGAAATCGGAGATCAGGAGCAGAGGCCGAAAACAAGGCCGAGGTCAAGAGCAGCAAGAGAAGGAGATCGAAAGGGGACGATCGGAGAAAGCTTCACAGGCGAAGCAGTAGGAGTCGATCGCCGATCGAAATCGAGACCGGAAACGGAGTTTTCCGGCGAAGGAAATCTTCATCTCCAACCCGATCCCCCGATCTCCCCCGCAGTTGGGTACTACCGTCTCTCTTATTCGATCAGCTGCCTCCATACCTCCACCATTGTTTCCCCCCCAAAAAAAAAATCAGCCAAAGACGGAAAGAGCTAGAATTTCGCGGCAGCGATAGAGGGGAAAGAGGAATGAGGAAAGAGCCAAAACCAAAAATAAACCCTAAGAGAGACAGAGAGAGAAGGAATGGAAGAAGGGAGAAGGGAAAAGAAGAACGACGATGTCTGGAACACCAAATAGGCAAAAAGTCAAATGAGCTGTCCTTATCAACAAACATATATCTTTACCCCTTCGGAAAAGAAGGGCCAATTTTTTTTTTTTTTTTTTTTTTTTGTGCAACCAAACCGGTCGCGTGCCTTTGCGGAATTCGGACTATGAGAAGATTGTATGAGCCCATGGCCATGGGTGACGATTTCGTAAATTAAACCGAATTAAATTGAATAATACAATATTTATAATTGAAATTAGATATCGTAGTTTTAATGTTTTTATAATCGCAGAAATCGAATCTCAACCACATGTAGAATAACCGAACAAACCGTAACTTTTTGTTAATTAAATATTTTTAATACTGAAAACCGGAATCAAACGAAATCGAATCTAATTGAAAAGATAAAGATTTACCCAAAAAAACGGAAAAAATAAACTCGAATAAAATCAAGCCGGATTCAAAACAGAGAATCGAAATAACATCCCAACCAAACGTCCTTTCCATTTACTTTTTTTTTTAATTCACTGCAAACATCATTGAAATGAAATCAAGTCATCCTCAACCATTTATCAATGAGATCACATATTTTATATTAATAATAACAAGGATAAAACCCCTAAAAAAAACCTTCAACTTACAAAAATATATACAAATAAGCCTTCAACTTGAAAAGTTGTTATTCAATCTCCAAACCTTGAATAAAACCTCGAACATACAAATTATTGTTCTAATAAATCTTTAACCGGTTTGACCATAATATCAGGTGACAGTAAATCCATGTATTGACGGATTACTGATGTCAATTTATACACATCAACAATTTAAATTTAAAAAATGATACATCAATTGATATCAACAATCTATCAGTACGTAGATTTCTGATCACTTGAAATTATGGTCAAACCGATCAAAGATTTATTAGAGCAACGATATGTATATTCGAGATTTTATACATTGACAAGTTATAAGTTTACATGTTTTTTTAGAGACCCTAATAATAATAATTTAACGAGTACAAGAAAGAGCCCAACCCAACAAAGTTTCCGGGCAATATTTGGGGCTATGGGTAATCTCGTCAAGGCCCATACATTGAAGGTCTCATTTATGTTATTAATAAATAATAAAAAAAAAAAGAAATATTAACTCGACATATGGTCTACTATAAACAGATTGCGACTGTGGGCCACAAAGGATTAGGAACCAAATCAAAGAAAGATTGGAGAGAGATTAATGAAGGGGATGTTCTTGCTGAAGGTGTTGGACAAGCGACCACAACACCTGCACTCGTTCCACTCTTCCCTGTCATATGCCTTTGTTAACTCCTTTTTTCCATTAAAAAAATTACCAAAAAAATAAAACGAATCTTTGGGGGGTATTTTGGGAATGTTCTGTTTACCTCTGTAATGAAATGGGCCCAGATTCTGCCGTGTCGTGTTTCCATGGCTCCTTTCAAGATGTTTAATCCAAAGCCTCTGATTAAATCTGCAATCTCCAGGAACTGCCCGCTTTCCTCGCATATCATCTTCACACGCACACAGACAAACAATTGGGTGAGTTCCAAAAAGAAAGAGTAAGAATCAAACACAAAATTCATGCAAAGAGCATGTCAAAAACCTCGATCTGCAAGTGGCCAGGTGGGTTCAAATCCTCGACAATGATCGGACAGACAACTGACTCATCTCCAACTTCAAACGCCCAAGTCGCCCCGTTTCTCTCTCCCGCCACTTGTTCTTCAATCGACGAACCCTTCTGATTCACCAGCTGCATCAACGCATCGCAGGAGATGCGTCAATTTTCAGAGATTGGATCTCGGATTGGATTTTCGGAATTCAGCTGTTTCTTTCTTTTTACTTACCTTCGGCTCATATGTTTGCTTGAGTTTGTCTGCGTGCTTGGCGACGCTTTGCATGAAGAGCACGTGTTTGGTTGTCAGGTCAAGCAACGCATCGATACTGCACTGTTTGTTTGATGAAACAGCACCAATGATATCACATGTCCGATAGTCCGAGAAATCTGTAGAGGGAAAGAAAGAACAATCAAGAAAAAAAGATGTTACCTTCGCCGCATTTGGAATCATCCCTCTTAGCTCCTTGATACGCTCTTGTATCATCTGACGGTCCTTTGGCCTCGGCTTCCGGCTCTCTCCAGGCTTTGCTCTCTTCTTCCTCACAGCTTCGTCTGGTTTCTTTGACGGCCCTGAATCCGAATTCCCGCCAAAGTTGCAGCTCCAAAAACCCGAATGCGGTTTCGAAAAAGTCTCTGGCTTGATTGGAGGGTTACAGAAACTGGCAGTCTGCATCATTGTCTGAGACATTACGTTGCAGCTCCGTGCAAAGAAACTTGAACTCTGAGGGGATGAAGTTTCAAGTTTTTTCCTTTTGGCGGGATTCAAACAGAAATCTTGGGAATGCGTCTGGTTGGTGACGGAACTGGAAGAGTTACTGAAACTGCTGCTTATGAGTTCTGAGAAGAGCCCTTTAGGAGGGGTCGAGCAAGAATCCTCGAAATTCGGCCCCAAGACATCAAAGAGATCAGTTTCACTGACCACAGATGTCTCCTGATGACCGTCTGACCAATGCACAAGAGTCTTGTCTTGAAGAAAGGATCCGGGAGACAATGAACCACTGCTCAAGGAAGCGTTCTGGCCAGGAGAATCGGCGAGGCACTGCTGAAGATCGTCCAGCGAGTACGAGTTCAGAATGTCGAACCCGAAATCATCATCTTCGAACGGATCATGTGACTTTCCCGACATCTCGCAGATATCAGAAGTGAAACATGACGGCGGTTCGGGGCTCGGAAAAGAGCACGAACCAGCCGCGAAGATCCCATCAAAGGCGAGACCTTGGAGAGATTCCGAGCTTCCCAGAGGCGCTAGGGTCGAAAACAACTCGTCAAGATCGAGAGTTTCTGAGATGTGACCAGTCTGCTGTAACGCTCTCGCTGTCTGTTCCAATATTTCAGTGCTCTTCTGAATCTGAAAACAGAGTAAAGATTCAATTCATGCCTTCAATTAAACCTTCTTGTTGTCTGATTGGGGGGAAAACCGATAATCATTCGTGTAATTAATCTGTAAAAAACCTTGTTGGTGGATCCCAACTGAACAACGCCTCGCGATCCAATAGGAACCACCAAGACAGTCTGCAAATCATGTTCCGCCTGAAAATATCAAACGCACGTACATGTCCTCAAACCTTCCAACGTGTAATTCAAATATCTTTTTGGAAAGTTAATATAAATATTTATGTTTGGACATAAGGTGGGTTCATTCATATAAAGATTTGAGCTTTCAAACAAAGCAATTCATGTGGAATCTCTGCTCATTATTACTGGTGATGTCTCCATAAAGGATGGAACTTGTAAATTTGAGACATTGGCCCATTAACAGGTAATAATAATAAAAAGAAAAAAAGGATATATGGAGAAGAAGAAAAAACCTGGAAAACGTCTTTAGCTGTGTCGCGGAACATCCAACGGTGGTTTCCGGTTAAAGCAGCCTCTCCTATGATTCTGCGTCGCATAAAACAAGGAGGATGAAGAAGACAGGAAACTCCAAAAAACGTATGCATTCAAAGATTATGCTATATATATATATATATATATGTATATGTGTGTATTTAGCTTCCTACCCTTGGCCAAATATATGATCCTGCCGAAGCATACCATCCACAACTGTACGCGTTAGTTCATCGTGGTATGCTTCCTCCACTGTCAATAGCCTGTCATCATTGTATTACATTGATGCAAGACACACACATATAGTCAGACATATACAAATAATGGATATAAGCAAATGCATCAGTTTAAAAAAAACAAGAGGAAAGATAACATGCAACTTCCTTCTTCAAATGAACAATCCAAATAAATATGAAGGAAATTAGCAAATGCTGCATACAATTTTTCTTTTAAGAAAACACGAATATGAAGGAAACAAGAGGTGAAACGAGTCAAGGAAAGGAAACTTTACATGGAGTTTCTGAGATCATAGCGCCAAAAAACAGCAAAAGACCATCCATGGCTGCAACAAAGGCTCTTCAGTGTATGCTTAAGCCCTGAGACCATCTCCTTCTTCCTCCTCGGGCAAAAAGAATCAAGACCCGGAAATCGCAATCATGTCATGCACCGTCAGACCAAAAAAATCGCGGGTCGGGTCAGAAACCCGAATAGCAGAGAATCTGGATCTCCCGCTTAAATATCTTGCAGAATTCTCACAAGAGAATGTAAAATAAAAAGACCCAAAATCATCCAGAGACTGTAAGTTGAAATATGCGGAGCAGAACCATAAACAGGAAATCTGAAACACAGAGAAGCCGTTGTTGTCTTTTGAGGAGAGTTTGCTTTTTGTTGAAGCGAAAGAGGTTAAAAAGCTTCTGTCTTTATATATAAAGACGTGAGCCACTGGTTGTATATATGTATGTATATACGCCTCTGTGTGTGTACATATATATATATATATATTAGCGCTGCCGGTAGCCTGTGACTATTATGCATTGGAATAACACTGAAGCGGCACCTGCTATAGCCGGTTGCGATAGTTATATTATTAACCTTTTCTTCAAAAAAATCATTAGCTTTTATGGGATTACTTATTTTTGTTCTCTCGCATTAAACTTCAAAAATATCTCATAGAATATTTTATTTAAAGATGGAGAGTTTTTCTTTTTGTAATAATATGGATTAATCCAAAGCCGATTCATGAATCTATCGCATTTTTATAATTTTTCCACAACTAAAAACTTATGAATTTTTAAAAATTTTATAAAATAGGGGACTGTTAATTATTAGTATATAAAAAATCTGATCAAAACATATGCATATGATCATTAGTATTTAAATAGAAGGCACAATATAAACCATATTTTGAAAAAAAGAATTTTAAATATTTAAACAATTATTTTAATTTTTACGGAAACAATTATTTATTATTACTTTTCACATTATTTTTCAAATAACCAACAAAAAACGGCCAGAATCTAGCCACTAATGAGACCAAGAATTGAAAATTTTAAGGTTTAATTGCGCTGAACAAAATCACAAGTATGGTTTACATGTATTCAGCTTGATATGCAATATTATAGATATGATATTTTGGATACCATCTTTTCGTTAAACGCACAATGGATAGAAACAACAACACATTTTTATCCATTTTTCTTTGTTTTTCATATCCCCGAGAATGTTAGATAAATATTACAGAAACAAATTTTGATAGAAATAATCAAAAGCATGATGAAAATATACATTGCTTTATAATCCATATGAAAATAAATACGTACGACTTATATGCATATACATTATAAAAGCAATGAAGGGATTTTTTTTTGTTAAAAGGTAATAGTGGGTGTTTCAGTAATAAAAAAATATTATACCATTCTCGAATTGAATTGTTCAAAATTTTCGAACGATAAATTTTCTAGAAAATCGATTTTTTCGGAATTGAATTGAATCGGACTGAATTTTTAAAAAACTCGAAAAACCGAAAAATTTGTTAAGAAAATCTATTATTTTTAGTAAAAACCAAACTTAACTGAATGAAATAATAATTGTTTGGTACGATACTTTTGTAAAAAAAACCGAAAGAATCTTAACTCGAATTGAATACGCCCACCCCTAACGGGTATTCAAGAGAGGTGGCAAAGTTTTTGTGGCAAAACAAAATAAAGGGCTTATTGGTGTCATACTATTCAAGAAGTCCGGTCGGTCCAATATCGTAGCGCACACAGAGGGTGTCCACATGTGTTAGGGTATCCTATGTTGTCCGTTTACACTCTCCTCCCTAATTGAACCAAAGAAATTACAAATGTGTGTGATTATTTACAAAAATTCGAATAAAGGGCAAAAGAAAGGCAGAGGATCGTGGACACTACCTTTTAGACAAGCAAATGTAAGATTGGGTGCCCACAATGCATGGGACATAAGAGATCCCCCAAATATGTCTCTAAAAACCTTGATATATATATATATATATATATAGGTCTAATAATATATTTTTTATTTAATTAAAAATAAAACTAAAACTAAAACTAAAACCCACCTCTTAATAGTCCATCAACTCTCCAACACACGTATCACGTTGTTGCATTGTACGTACGTGCCCATGTTGGTACGTGAAGAACAATCTAATATACAAGACCCTCAAATAAATACATTAAGTTACGTACTGTAATTGTAGTTTCACGATTATTCGTCCGCTTTATTTTATTTTTTAATTATTGGCCAGCAAGAATAGCCATAATTTGGTCTCTTAGACTCAACACACGCTCAATCATGGCCGTCTAGAACAAAAGTCAACGGCATCAAGAATTTTCTCTTTACTCTTTTTTTTTTTATTATTTTTAATTTCGACTCAAAATGGTGTCCGAAAGTGGAGAACTAAATCCAAAAGTGAGATTTTTTGTTGTTGTAAACTTGTTTACTATAGTAAGCTTTTTATCCTTGCATATTATTCCCCACTTTGGAAACCACGAAGGAGAACCCACATTTGATGATTGGGCACACATAAATTTCAATTATTATGTCATTTTCAAATTTCGAAAATAAAACGCAGCCCTTTTTCTTGTAAATATAACACCCTTTTAAGTTTTTTAACCCGAATTTCCATATTTACACTTGCATTTATTTTTTACTACGTACAAGAATTAATGTGTGTGTGTACATGTGTTATATATGGTGTGTGATCGATGTTTGTCATTTAACGAAGGTCAAAATCACAACACGATTATGATATCTAATTTGATAGAGCGTATGACACAATTTTAGGCGCAAATGCATGGGCTTCTTAGATACCAAAGCATATTACGATTTACGATTAATATATCCATTAGAGATCACACTACTATATATCACTATACGAATGCTTCTCTTCTATATGCCTAGATCATGAACGATTAGTCGTTTTACATCAAATTGTTAACGTTGTTTTCTTTGTTAACTAAGGTTTTGAACGAGGATGAGTTTCATTTTGGGTTTTTAATTTTAGTTTTTTTATTTTGGTTTTTAGGTTTTGGTTTTTGGTTTTTGGTTTTTGGATTCTATAATATTTGAAAACTAAAAAAAGTAGCTTTTGATTTTTCTTTGATTTTTCTACTAAAATGGCTTTCAGAGTTTTTAGAAAAAGTAATTTTGTGAAAACTTGAATGATAATTTTTTTGGTTTTTTTATTATAAAAACTCTAAAAACTCCAACCATTCAAGGTCTAATTAAGTATTTATTAAACGTAGTTTACACAATCCAAATGCACTGCTAAATGGAAAGATCTTATCAACGTCCATGAATGCAAAATTATAGATCGAACTGCCGAATCGGAAAAATTGGGTGCTATCATATAGCTTTGTATCGGCTAAGTTCACGAGTTGGAGATAAGCGGACTCGAACCGCTGACATCCGC